TAGGAATGTGGGTTTAAAAGACTGCTAGGCAAGCCTCCTAATTCCACTTAGGGCGTTTTTCTTGGCTGCAAGTATAAGAGAGGGAATACTGACGCTGAGATCAAATCTGCCTTAACCAAAGTCAAATTTAGTTGTTTCCTCATCTAAAACTTATTGGTAGCTCTATTATAAACCTGACCACAGGTATGTATCATGAGGGCTATTTGTGAGAAAACAAATTTGTTTTTCAGATTATTAGATTATATGTATCATTTTACTTATTTGTTCCTGTCTGTGACACATTAATAAGTTTGATTTAAAGTGGGATTTTCCTTTAGTCACTAAGTAATTTATAATTTAAAAGTTATAAAACTCCCTAGTTGAAAAGCATTTAAGTATTACTACTATTTAATGACCATGAAGCTCCTTAAAGGTAGGAATCATGAATTTTTCATCTACAACTTAGCTCAGTGTTTAGTAGAAAGACATTACTATTACATGAACCAGACTGGAAATTGTCAGAGTATTTAAAAAAAAAAAAGTTTCCTAACATTATAATTAAAACTTCACTTGAAATGTGAGCTACATGACAACCAGGACTTTCGTCTTATGTGCAGTACTCGATCCCCAGCATCACAGATAGTACTGGATACGTGATAGGCACTCAAATATTTTTTAAATAACAGAAACAATTATTTGTTGAATGTCTACTCTCAGCTAATACTTCAGGGTTTAAAAATATATATATTGACCTAGCCCTCGCTGGTGTGGTTCAGTGGATTGAGTGTCAGCCTGAGAATCGAAAGGTTGCAGGTTCGATTCCCATTCACGGCACATACCTGGGTTGCAAGCCAGGTCCCCAGTCGGGGGGGCCTGTAAGAGGCAACCGATCGATGTACCTCTCACACACTGATGTTTCTCTTCCTCTATTTCTCCCTCCCTTCCTCTCTCTAAAAATAAATAAATAAATAAAATCTTTTAATAAAGTAAAACATATATCAATCTTAAGATTTGATTTCCACTGCAAATATATTTTTTAAAATCAATGATCTTTTAGAGTAGAAGGACAGCAATCACCTGGTTCAAATAAAATTAAAAGTTAAAATAAAATGTAAGGAAGACTATACAAGATTAGGTGTTAACCGAAAAAGAAAAAAGGAATGGAAAAAAAAAAGAATGAGTTTGAAGTTTACACATTACCCTAGACGGTCAGAGTGAGAAAAGATGGCATTTAGGATAGAATTTGTGAGATTTATGGATAGGAAAAATTTTAGTTTTAGGTGATAAGAGTGTAACAGGACACTGAAGCAGCATTGAGTGAAGGTCTGTCTGTATACAGAAAGGTTCACACTGAAGAACATTGGCAGTTAAAGTGGGAAGAGAGCAAAATTGTCTATTAAAATAATCTGCCAAAAACTTTCAGAGATATTTTACAATATCTATCTCATAAATGAAGAAACAAATATTTTTGAGTGTGTATGTATGTGGATGTGTACATAAAGGAAAGGAGAGCCTTTTATCCTCAAGAGCACATCATCTCTGGAACATAATAAACAATGTTGAATAAATGAGTATCAAATGTCAAGTTTTAGATTACCCAAATAAAGCAAATTTTTACAAACTGCACTTCTAGATATACAGAAATCAATTAATCTCAAAGAACAGAATTTAAGCAAGAAGTAACAGATCCCTGTAACACAAATCTACTTTAAAAATTCAAAGATGAGCACTCTTAACATTTCTGACTATTATCAAGTTCTCATTTCTCTTGCATTCAGCAAATATTTATTGAGAGTCTGTAAGGTGCCAGGCACTGTGCTTATAATTGTGCCAATGTTCATGTTACAGTACTGATATCTACTTAATGATGTTGGTGTCCAAAGAATATGTACTTGTGTTCTTTTTGTCATTAGTGCTGATCATTTTTCTGACCATTTTCTACTGAGATGTACCACTACTTGGTTAAGAGGGTAAGATAAAAAATAAAATGTATGGCATGTTAGATTGGTTAATCAACTGGCAGTTCAAATAATCTGGAGAACTTAGGTGCCAACACTTTCTGAAATTTTTTACATGCCATCATCTCATTCAACCCACACAACACAATGACATACATACTATAACTACTTTCATTTTATACACAGGAGGAAAAAATACTTAGATAGAGATCATTTACTTTCCCTAAGATGACCTCCTGAAACTCAAAAATTATACTGGGGAGAGTAAGTAAAATATAGATGATAAATCAGTGCTATAGAGAAAAACAAACAGGTGAAGGGAGATAAGGAGTGTGAAGTCTGGGAACTCATTAGTGATATGGAGACAGTTAAATGGTGATTAAGAGAAGTGAAAGAACAAGTCTGGGAGATAAATGAGTAATAGGGGCTCCAAGCAGATAGAATAGTTAAGTGTAATCACTTTAAGGCACGAGCACTTCTTTTAAAAAAAACTATTTGTACTGTAATACACTGAAAATATTTATAATTTTTATAGTTGGCTGAAGAGATTCACTCAAATGTCAATGATCTTTTAACTAAATGAATCAAAACATAGCTTTAGTTGAGACATCATGGAATGATTGGTTCTTCCTACCTTAACCAAGCAAGAAGATCCTGCCAGAAATAAAATATAACTTCCTCATTCTCACTAGTCAAGCTTCTTCAAGATCCATCTGGGATCTATTTCCTAAATCGAGGTTCTGCCGCAGAAAATTAAGCAAAAAGTATTTAAATGGAATCACTTCATTAAAATGAAGATTAGAGCCCTGGCTGGGTCATTCAGTTGATAGAGTATTTCTCCCATGTACCAAGGTTGTGGGTTCAATCCCCTAGCAGGGCACATACAAGAATGAACCAATGAATGCATAACTATGTGGAACAATAACCAAAAAAAAAAAAAAAAAAAAAAAAATCAGTGGTTCTCTCTCTTTCTAAAATCAGTAAATAAAAATTTTTAAAAACAACTGAAGTTAGAGATGAGAACAGATATTCTAAGAGAAGTTATCATAGGAAAATTACTAAAAAATATAGGTGTAATAACTGAAAGAGATTTACAAAATATAAATAGCCAACAATCACAGAAACACAGGCCAGATACCAAATTTTCTTTGATAGGATAAGCAAAGTTTGCTGTTCCACAGTATTCCAAAACCCTAACTGTAGCTTAGCAGTTAAGTAAAAAATGCTTTGCATACTACTTTGATTATTTATCTTCCAAAAACGCTGTGAAATACTTATCCCAGGTCTCTCTTACAAGATGTTAGTGCACAGAACTAGACATTCAATACCTACTTGAGGAATAAATATAGTCCACATTTGTGGGAAGTATTATTTATCCAATTTTTCTACAAGGGAACCAACTTTTTCTTTTAAATAATTTCAAAAATAATAACTATATGCAACTATGTTTAGTTAAAATAATGTGTTATTAGAGCAAGGCCATGGTAGAAATAACTATGACTAAACTTTTAGAATCTGTAGCCTTATATATGCATTAATACTTCATAAACAAAATAATGTTCCTCTTAGCCTATCACAAAATAAATCAAAATAAAGTGATGGGTAACGCCATAGTTTAGTAATGGTTCAAACTTGGAATTTGTTTCAACTCATTATCCTCCTAAGGCAACTGTGAGCCTAAGAATTTGAGTATCACCTTTGGTATTATCTAATTGTGGTCTCACTTACATGTAAAATAGACTTACTTTTTAAAAAAATAATTTCACATTTTATTTGTCTTAACTCTGTGGGTGGCACTCTTAAAATACAAGTTCCTTAGGGGCAGGGATCTCTAAAGCTCCATTGTACATGGAAGATGTTCAATTAGGAATACTCCTGCGGCTTCTAATTAAGTGAATATTTCATTTTTTTTGGTTTTTGTGTTTTTTTATTTTTTCTTTTGTTAAGTCAATGTCTTTAAGTGATTTACCTACCAAGAAGCATAAAAATAATTCAATTTCTATTTTAAAAAGAGGCTTCTTTCACGTAAAAAACATTTTTACACTAAACCTCACTAAAGCTGGCAATTCGGTAACACCAAAAGACAATTATTAACTGGCATAGGAAGTTACAGAGGTCTTTTTAAGAAGACTTTATAATATGAAAACATAAAAAGTTGGAATAACTTAAAAACAAAAAATGAAATTAAAGATAGAGCACTAAAATATCCACATAACAAGTCTGTTTTGCAAGGAGTGGTCCCCCCCAAAATACGGGGGGGACCCCTCAGCGAGTGGATAGGAAGTTTGGCACGTTTCAAGGCACTCTCACTTGACCGTCACAGCAATCCTGTGGCCTGATTTGATGAATGGGAAAAACTCTGCATCAAAAGGTTAAGCGACTCGCCCAAGGTCAGTCAGGAAATTAGTGTTGCAGCTCTACCTAGAAGGGTGCATTTCACCTCACTCCAACACAACGTCCTGCCTCCCCTACCGCCTCAGGTAGAGTGAATGAGACTCCTGCACTAACCTCAACTTGCTAAAGAAGCGGGTGAAAGCTTTCCTTAGCAGGTCAGCTGGAGGAAAGTTGTACAGGTCACCGATCAGCCCAATGAAGTGACATGCTGACAAGCGCAGCTCCCAAAGGTACAGCTCCGCTTTCCCAGAGCCCCTCCAAACCCCGCGCCAGCAAGACTGCTCCCGGAAACATCTGAAAAACCTCCCATTGAGTTTCGCCCCCTCCTGGGCGCGAGGAGCGAGAGGCAATGAGCCAGAGGACGGACGTCCACCCGACCCAGCCATGTGTCCAGCCCGTCACGCCCGCCTCGCCTTAGCCGGCTCCTCGTGCCTCGACCGCAGCCAGAGGCCCAGCTCAGGATCCGACGCAAAGACTGTCTGGGCCGCCGTCACTACCACCATAGCAGCCTGAGGCGCCCTGGTGTGGCAGTCGCCGTCAGGTCCCCGCCCCACCTCTCCAGTTGGGCCCCTCAGCGACGCCGTCCGCGTCTCTAGCCAGGCCCAGAGGGATCGGCCTGCCACAGTGCGCCCGCCCGCCCGCCCGCCGCCGCCAGCCCGGCGTCCTTACTTCATTGAGCTGGCGCTCCGCGGCCTCACGCAGGGCTGGGTCCATGGTGCCCCGCAGGGCCTCTATAATAGTGTTGGGGTCCATCGCAGCGCGGACTCGCTAAAACCCAAGGCTCGGGTGCTTCTGAGCCAGAAACAGCGCCGCTCACTGCGCACATGGACCCGCCGCGCTCCGCAGCGGTAACCGGCGCGAAAGGAAAGAGAAGCGCCAAAGGCCCGGATAGAACCTCTTCCCCTCGGCGTGGAGGCGGGAGATGCTCTAGAACTTCCTGTCGGCGCGCCGCGGAGCACCTTGGGATGTGTAGTTAGCTCATGCAATCCGCAGCCCACGTGGTCCTGAGCTGTCACTCACGCAGAGAAGTCTTGCTATTCAACAACAACAACAACAAAAAGTTCAGGCTGCACGGAAAGTTAAAACAATCAGTTAAAAATATTTGACATAATAATATATTTTTGGTGACTATAAAGTGAATCTGATGCAATGAGTGATGCAATCTATTGTTAGTAGCTGCGTATTGAAGGAAAGCTTTTCAAAAGCAATTTGAGACGGTGTTTCTCTATGCCGTAAAAGTGTTCATAATCTTTGACCCAAGTAATCCCATTTGAGACCATCCTAAGGAAAAAAACACAAAAGATTGAACTTTATGTGGGAAAGGTATTTATCACATTACATAGTTATTATAATCACCAAATACTAAATTATGGCTTTTTATTGAGTATCGAAATACTGGAAGAAACTTTATGCAGATCATATCTAAATGCAGAATAAAAGCATGATCCTTATTAAAACGCACCTTTTTTTAAACAGTTAATGGAACAGTTTCAGAAAGGTTAAATAACTTTCCCAAGGTCTCTTAGATAGTAAGAGATTCACCTAGGATGTTCCTGTTTTCAAAGTTGTCATTCCACTGAATTACTTTGCCTTTCAAAAGAAATGTCAAACAATATAGGAATGGTTAGGCAAATTACAAGAATTCCAGTCAATGAAATATTTCACAGTGTATAATACATAAACATATAGTTATATATCTATTATTATTAATATAGAAATATGTATATTAATATGTAAAATATTTTATATTATTTTAAATATAAAATTACAAATATTAAGCAACTTGTAACAACACAAAAACATTTATATAACAATACAGCTTTGTAACATGGACAAAGACTGGGAAACCAGGCTGGCAAATGAAAGTAATTGGTATACTTTCTTTTTCAAATTATAAGAGCAAGTTTATTTAGAAAGTCACAGAGATAGTAGAAGTGAGCCAGCTGGGTTGTGTAGGCTCAGGAAACAAGTTACAAAAGCAGAAGAAGAACACTTGGAGCTTCGGAGAGGGAAAGGCAAAGGTAACGTGCCTGTGGGGGAAGAAGAAGAGTTGCAGGTGTGCTCTGTAATGGGAAAGTGCCCTAGTAGATGGTTTTCTACTGTAGGACAGGAAGATTTTGAGTAATTTCCTTTCATAGCTGCTATAGTTGTTATGTAAACATAGTTTTCAACAGAAAACCACAAGCAAGAATGATGTCACCAAAGCCCAGGATACAAAACCTAGGTTTAATAGCTGATCTAATTGTTGTCTCAGCCTTTCCCAGAAACATAATATTAATCAATCAGTCTGGATTTTCTTGTGAGGTAATCTGCCTGATAAGACCCCTTCCCTTCCACTTAGGGAAGGTGTTTTTACCTGAAATAATCCACTCTTCATTTCTTAGTCCCACCCTCTTTCTGCCTATAAAAACCTTCCATTTCGTACAACTCATCTGTGCCCTTCTAGTTGCTATATGGGATGCTGCCTGACCAGTGAATGCTTAAGTAAATCCAATTAGGTCTTCAAATTTACTCTGTTAATTTTTATTTTTTAACAATAGATACTTACGCTGGCTCTCTTCAGAGCATGCCCATGCCCATCTTCCCTCTCCTACCTGCATCTTTACTTTTCTCCCCTAAATCTAAGAGTCCCCACAAGACTTGCAACCAGGGGAGGAGCAGGCAGCAGCAGCTCATCCCAGGCTCACCCCCTTAACCTGTTTCCAAGGCCCTTTTTCTCTGACTTGCCAGCAAGCTAAAAGCAGCCCTGCTTTAGCTCACATCTGTTGCTGTGACTTTTACTTCTCAGTGAATTCACACAGCTCAGCATGGCTCACTTCTTTCTTATAACATTTCTATGGAGCCAGAGGAGCCCCACCTAGGCTCTTTTCTGTTGCTTCACCTGCCCTAAGCTCTTCCTTTGTTTTACTGTCCCTAGGTTTTTTTGGTTTTGTTATTTTTTAATTTATTGATTTGGTGGGGGTGGGGGAGGGGCAGGGGACGTGAGAGAGAGAGAGAGAGAGAGAGAGAAACATTGATGTGTTTTTCCACTTATTTATGCAGTCATTGGTTGATTCTCGTATGTGCCCAGACTGGGGATCAAACCTGCAACCTTGGCATATTGGGAAGACACTAATCAACTGAGCTATCCAGTCAGAGCTCACTGTTTCCAGCTTTAATAAATGTACCCTCAAAATAAAAAATAATAATAATTAAAAATAAATAAATACTTAAATTTTAAGCCTTTGAATACTTATTGATTTTAGTTTGCAAAAAGGAGAAAAGTGGGGAGGGGGGCACAGAAACCTCTTGGAGCAGTGGGACTTTGCCACATTAGTAGTTTCTTGTATGCAGCCACTGTGCCTGAAAGTGAGATATAATTATTCCTAATCTACAAATGAAGAATCCAAGGCTCAAATAGGCTACTTAAATTGTAAAAAGTCATAAAAGTAACTTGTAGCTGGTTCTATCATTGTACTGATACAATCTGTTTAAGAATTTTTCTCATCTCTCAAATGTGAGGGTCTTGAAAATAAGGATTATGTTTTATTCACTTTCATATCCTCACATCCTAACTAGAGCTTGAATATCTACCAGGAATTCAATAAATATTTTAGTCAATAAATGAAGAAAGGAATCAGTGAACCAGCTATGATTTGGTGGCTGAGCCAGAACTGAAACCTCAGTCTTCAAGATTCCAAAGCCAGTCATTTTTACACTACTGCATATCTGTTTTAGATTCTAAAATTGACTTGTACATCGTGGAATTGTGACAATTACAGCATAGCACAATGTATGTAAAAGCATCTGACACATAGAAGGTGCTCCAAAAATGTTAATTTCTTCTCTCCCTGAGTACTGGAAATCCAGAGCTAGCAAGGTTCACAGAACTACAGCTGGAGCGGGCCCTGTGTCTCATACTTCAGAGAGAATGGAGCCCATAGGGTGCTGGAACCTCTCTAGGGAGCCAGAGTTCCTTTATCTACCTAAGGAGCTTGACTCCAGGGCCCTTCAGGAGCTTACCTGGCAGCGTGATTAGCACACTGAAGTTATTTGTAGGTTTATATTTATTTTGTCAAGATTGTGGCACAGAGAATGTAACTTACACGACTAGAAATTTAGATGCAAGCTTCTCAAGGACAGGGACCAGGACTATTTCTTTGTGGCAGACACAGCAGTGAGTATGTGGTCAATAAATAATGTGAAGATTAATGGGAAAAACACTAAGTTGGGCCATTATAAATATAAATAAGCATATCTCACTCCTCAATCCGAATTCCAAGTGCCACAGCCAATGCAGATATTTACAGTTCATTGGGCAAGTCTGAAGAATTCAGAAAAGTAAAACTACAGGGTGTCAGAGCTGGTTTTGAGCTAGGATGTGATTAGACAAAAATTAAGAAGAGGTAAAGATCAGTGAAAAGATGATTTGTTTAACTGATCTTAGAAGGGATAGTTCTGTTGTTCAAACAGAAAAAAAAACTCTTTATAGGTAAGAGAGAGAAAATGGGGGCTCAGAATATGACCTAATAAATATAAGAGAATGGCAAGAATTAATCTCCCCTTTACAGTCCTCCTTCAAGGCTATTGTGGGTGAACATTAGTGACAAAACCCTTGATGTTAAGTACCAACGGCATCTTAAGGTCCAGCTGATCTGTTTGAGGTAACTGGATTTTATCAAAACCTCATATCCTATGCTTTTTATGTTAGGTCTATTTCACACAGTCAGAACATTTTAGATAAAATTTTTCATGAAATTTAGTTTTTTTAATGAAGGTAATTATTATATTTGTAACTAAGTGGAATTTTTACTTGGAAGGTAAGATTGGTAAGATTTTTACTCTAAACAATTAAAAATGTAGGAAATAAAAGAAAGACATAGAAGCTAAGAAAAGAGCTATTGATTATGTTCCAAGGCATGTGCCAACTGTGTTGCCTTTGATAAAACTTTTATATCACTAGCCCTCATTTTTTTGTTCCCATCTGTAAAATGAGTAAATAACCCTGTCCCAGGCTCCCAAAATTTCTCTAAGAATCAAATGAGGTTGTCAAGTGCTTTGTAATTATTAAGTTCAGTACAAAAGTAAATTGTTATTGGTATTAAGGAAAGGGATGAGGAAAAAGGAAGGTAAGAAGGCAAGGCAAGAGAGGTAAAGAAAGAAGAAATGAGGAGAGCTCCCCTCCCAACAGCTGTAAATCTGCACGTTCAGCAACCTGGTTCATATGTGTTAAAGCTTAGCATATATACAAGAAGAAGTTAAAAGACAACCTTTTACCGAAATTGTCACAATAAGACTATTTTATTATTGCATTTCTTTTAAGTGCACTGATCTACATAAAATTGAATTTTATGCTTAAAACCATATACAAATTTTAAAGATCATGCTCATCACGAAATTTAAAAATTATGCTTATCAAAGCATAATTTACATAAAATGTAATGAGTTTTGCCCTGGCGGGGTGGCTCAGTTGATTGGAGTATCACCCCATACACTAAAAGGTTGTGGGTTCGATTTCTAGTCGGGGCCCAAACCTAGGTTGCAGGTTCAATCCTCTGTCAGGGGGCACATATGAGAAGCAACCAATTGATGTTTCTCTGTCACAACGATGTTTCTCACTCTCAAATCAATAAACATATCCTCAAGTGAAGGTTAAAAATAAAAAATAAATTTAATGGGTTTTCACAAAGTTATACATCCATGTAACACCCCCACAATCAACACGTATATAATCTCCATCAGCCCTTCCCAGTAATCCTTACAGGATCTGCCCCATGCCACACATACCAAACGATGTGTTTTCTATAACTATCGATTCAATTTGCCTTTCCTAGAGTTTCTTATACATGGAGTCATTAAGTATTTTGTGTGTGTGTGTCTGGATTTTTTTTCACTCTCTATAATGTTTCAGAGATTATTTCCATGATGTTGAGCAT